AAGCAAGCACAACTTAATATCTCCGTTTCAATCAGGCTTCAGGAAAAATCACAGTGTGTGCAAATTTTCAAACCTGCATGGTAATGCTGATGACATTCAGTTATCTTTATCTGCACCTTTTGATCAAGCTAAAGAGTTATGTAAAAGCATTAATACTGATTTGGCTAATATCTCTAGCTGGACGGCTGCCAGGAGTCTAATCTTAAATAAAAATAAGTGCTGTGTGCTGCCAATCAGTGCTAGAAAACTGAAAAATCTGGATTTCTTGCCCCGAATATTCATAGACAATTGTTCGTTAAAATTAGTCTGCAAGATTAAAAACTAAGGATACATTATTGACTCCAATCTTACATTCACGGATCATGTAAACTCCATTGCTAGCAAGGTCTATCTCATTCTGAGGAATCCTAGGCAGTAAGCTCTCTATACACCCACTGCTACCAGACGCCGACTTGCTATACAAATTATTCTTCCGGTTATCATGTACTCTGAACTCGTATACAGCAAACATTACAGTTTTTCTGCTCGTAAAATTGATGTTAGGTTTAATAATGTCAAACGGTATGTATTTGGTATTTCCAAGTATGAGCACATTTCGTCTTGGAAAGATCATATATTGGGATGTACGATTGCCAGAAATTGTATTTTTCTCAGCAAACTCATTATGAATCAATCTCTTAGTTATCTTTTTACCCGGTCCGCCAGAGTAGGTAATATAAAAATACCTTTTCATAAATCACAGCAATCATCAAGGCAGTCTTTGTCAATGCAAATCGATTATGGAACTCTCTTCCTGCTTATTAAAGGAAGACATAAAACAGAAGCAATATCAAGAACCACATTTTAAAGGCAAAATTTCAGACACAGACTGACCATTTAATAATTGTTTAAATTTTCGTTATACTCAGCTCATTACATATTATTATTATTTTTGTTAATGTATCTGTAAAGTAATATTTACTCCTTCCGGTCCGCCAGAGTAGGTAATATAAAAATACCTTTTCATAAATCACAGCAATCATCAAGGCAGTTCTTTGTCAATGCAAGTCGATTATGGAACTCTCTTCCTGCTTATTAAAGGAAGACATAAAACAGAAGCAATATCAAGAACCACATTTTAAAGGCAAAATTTCAGACACAGACTGACCATTTAATAATTGTTTAAATTTTCGTTATACTCAGCTCATTACATATTATTATTATTTTTGTTAATGTATCTGTAAAGTAATATTTACTCCTTCTTCACACTATCGCTGTTGTACTAAAAAATATATGGAACCCTTCTTGTAATGATGCTTTGTTATTATCATTAAATAAATAAATAAATAAAAATAAATAAATAAACTGCACTTTTCCCCGGAAAGTGGACCATCGACTGACTTATTCAAAATACTCTTATTTAAGGTTCGGCTTACCTGAGTTTTGATATATTGGTTTCTCTCCGGAAAGTGCACTAGGAACTGACATATTCGAAAAAAGTTTACTTATAGCAGAAATGAATGTAATTCGATATAAAAGTGAATTTATATTTAGAATAACAGGAAAACTTATCTTCTCTTTGGAAAACTGATTCCGACTGATTCATTCAAAAAAGTTTATTTATAACTCAAAATCTTACATTTTCTTCGTTTTACTTGAAATTCGGTACATAAGTGACCTTTTGCTTAGACAAACAGGAGGACTCCTCTTCTCTCCGGGAAGTGAGCTAGTCACTGGCCCATTCGAAAAACACATTTATTATTGTTCGGCTTACTCGAAATTCGTAGTATAGGTAGGCTTTTGCTTAAAATAACTGAAATACTACTCTCTTCTCCGGAAAGTGAACCAGGAACTGACTTATTACAAAAATTATTTACTATAGCCGGATTTACTAGAAATTATGTGCAAATTATGTGGAAAGTGCACCAGGAACTGACTTATTCGAAAACAGTTTATTTATAGTTAGATTTACTTTAAATTAGGAACTTTTGTAGCCTTTTGCTTAGATTAACTCGAAAACTACACTTTTATTCGGACCATCGCCTGACATATTCAAAATAATCTTATCTATGGTTCGGCTTACTTGAAAAAGATACATAGGGTAACTTGAATACTCCACTTTTCGCCGGAAAGTGCACCCGAAACTTACTCATTCCAAGAACGTTTACCTATTGTGGGCTTTAACGAGAATCGATATTAATCCGGATTTTTGCTCAGAATAACAAGAAATCTTATCTTCCCTCTGGAAAATGGTCCCGAGACTGACTTATTGAAAAAAGCTTATTTATGGCAAGATTTATGTGAATTTCGGCTTATATGTGGCCTTATGCTTTGTTGAAGCATGAGTGTAGATCTCATAGAGTTCTAAAAGAAAAATTTAAATAAAATATACATAATGTTGCGAAAATGCGAGGCGAATGTCAGATGAAAGAGAGAAGCCGATAACTAGTACATTCTAGAAACGTTAAACCGAGAACCTTCGATAGCGAACAACTCGAATATTCTACACTTTCGTCTACGAGCAGCCGACTGCTATATAAGGGCGACACTCAGCTGCCAAGTCAAGTCAGTTAGTGAACTCGTTGGCGTTAACATAGAGTATAGCGGAGTAAACGCGTTGGAGATTACATTTCAGTAAAGTAAATTGTGAAAGTTGAGGCTAGTGATTGTAAGTAGTAAAGTGCATTGTAATTGAATTCTGAATTACTGATAAATTCTTTATAACGAAAGAAACTGCAAATTAATTTGGCGAGTTTTTATTTAACAATACAGAGATCGTACCCGAAGGATTCAGAAAATCATCGAGGTTGATTTAGAAAAATCGTTACAATATATATGTAATTTTATACTCATCTTGAATTGTTTACCATAATCTTAAATACTCACCCTTTATCCACTGCAATACGTACCTTAATTTTCAATTCCTGTAAAGCAAAGGAAATTGAACGAAAAACGGAAACCGAAATTTCCCCTCCTTTCCCGTTAATGTCAAACTAAGTTAAGTATTTTGTTATAAGTAATAAACTTACAGTATTTTTAAATCAATCGCCTGCTTTACCTCAATATAGTACGTTTGTACATGTGGGCGTTATTCGAAAAAAAATCAGTGTGAGAAGATATAAAAGAAAACGCGTTTTTTAATTTCATAAAGCAAAATTAATATTTATTTTTCAACGTCAGTTGTTGAATATGGTGCCGAAAACCCTTTAAAGGAGTGAACCTTAAAAAAAACCGCGAGAAACGGCGTAAAAGCAAGCGATAGTCGCGAATAAAAAATTTTAATCGCACGAAAAGCGGCTCAGTGAAATAATTATATAGAGAAAAAACTGAACATATATACAAAAACTGAACACATCGGCCGCTGAAAAAAGTAGAAAAATACACATATTGATTACATAAGTACAAAAAGAAAATTAAAACAAAATAATTATTTATTAATTAATAGTTTACACGACATGACCAAAGACAAAAAAAACGAAGAATCCGCAGGAGGCCGATCAACAGCAAAAACCCACACAAAGCTAGAATCCACTCTCGCTCATATAACAATTATTAAGGGTTCGTACAAATACAAGGATATGCCAAAGCTTTATTGCGAAAAAAAGCTTACATATATATTATTCAAAGTATTGTCCTTCGCTAGCGACAAGTACTACCTGCATGTGACGCAAGTCCATTTTATGAAGGTTATGAAGAATGGCCCGCCTTTCAGACCTTTTCACAGCAGTCTATATAAACACCCTATACTATCGAATGCGCAAAAGTTGTTTTATCTGAAACCGAAGACACGAGGAGAAGCAGCAGAGGTAAATCAACAGTATTTGGTAAGCTACTTAAATTTCGAGCTTGCATGGCAAGCGCTCTCATCCCGATATGAAAACCTCCGGTTACTAGTAGATAACCAAATAGATACCCTATTAGATCTCAAAAAAATCGCAGTGGAGAGCGCGGAGCAAATTCAAAAGCTCCATCTTGCGATAACAAATAGTCTCTCCATCCTCAAATCTCACCAAGTTTCCACACTCGACTGGAGCCCACTCTTGGTACGGGAATGGATATGGGAACAGCAAGTTTGCAAGAAGAGACCTAGCCCTCTGGTCTAAAATGAGCAACTTCTTGACAACTCGTTTTAAAGTTTTGGATAAAATCAACATAAGAAATCCGAAATCTAAAACTGCAGACTCTATCCCTAGGCAAACTCACAGGCCGATACATAACTCCACCTTTTTGAATAGGAATAAAATGCACACACTACATACTGAGTCAAAAAGACCAGTATCGTGCAAACTCTGTAATTCAAACCACTCTATGATGATGTGCTTCAAATTGAGAGAACTTTCAGTCCCCGATCGGAACAAGTTCATAAAAGATCACAATTATTGTCAAAATTATTTGGCGTGCTCTCACACCGAGAGAGATTGCAAAAGCAATTTTACATGCATCTACTGCCAAAGAAGGCATCACTCACTCCTCCATTACTCTAATAATAGCCAAATAACTAGAAATCAAAGATTCGCAAGAAAAACTGTCAAACCCCAAGTGGCAATTGACGAAGAACGGCCCTATACCTCTCAACAGGCAGGAAAAGCGTCAAACTCTACTCCAAAAGAGGATGATAAAATTCTTTCACACTTCTCCAGCAGTAGAGAAAGAACATTGCTTCCCACATCAATCATCCCGATTCTCCATAAAGGAGAAATAACTCAAATAAGAGCACTCATAGACCAAGGGTCTAAAAAACCTTCATAACCTCTCGTATGCAAAATTTACTAGGACTTCCCTCCACAAAAACTCATTACGAGATTTTAGGAATGGGCGGACACACGGTACAAAATTCAAATAAAATTTGTTCATTAACAATATGCTCCAACGATAGCAAAATAAAAATCCCAACTCAAGCGATTATACTCCCACAGCTAACCCAATTCTTGCCGTCATTCAAGATCACATATCTTGATATAAAACGATATGCCTCTCTACCTTTAGCAGACCCTAGCTGCTTCGCTCCAGCAAGAATTGACATGGTAGTCGGTAGTGATATCCTACCGAAAATACTTGTCCCAGGCCTTAAAAATGACATCGGTGGAAGCCTCATAGCCCAGAATACCATATTTGGATGGATTTTAAGCGGACCTGTAGCACAATCGATTACATCACTCAGTACGCAAGTAATCGAGACCATGGTCGACCCCTTAGGTGATCTGCTGAAGAAATTCTGGGAACAAGAAGAAGTGTCAGGAGCCCAGACACAGACGGATGAAGACACTATCTGCAAGGACCTCTATCGAAATACCACTTACCGGAGAAATGACGGTCAATATGTGATAAAACTCCCCTTCAAACCGGAATTTCCCAAACCGATGGCATTAGGACACTCAAGACTCTCAGCTCAGCAGCAATACATCAGCATCGAACGAAGCCTGGAGAAAAAACCGGATCTCCAAAAAATCTATGCAGAGGTCCTAGAAGAGTACCAAACACTCGACCATATGGAGCGAACGAATGCCCAAGAAATTATACGGGACGGCAAATACTTCTCATTCTATCTGCCACATCACGCAGTAATATAACCCGATAGCAAAACCACTAAAGTCCGAGTGGTATTCAGTGCGTCTAAACTCTCTCACTCAGGTCTTTCCCTAAACGACGTACTGCATACAGGCCCCATACTGCAAAACGATCTTGTGCTCGTAATAATCAGGTGGCGGTTATATAAGTATGTTTTTAACGGGGATATTGAAAAAATGTATCGCCAGATATATGTCCACAAGGAAGATCAAGACTTCCAACGGATTCTCTTTCGCAAATCCCCAAGTGGCCCAGTAGAAGACTACAAACAGTAACGTTTGGTGTGAGCTGTGCACCATACCTAGCCATAAGAACACTCCATCAGCTGGCTGAAGACTCCAAACCAAAATTCTAACAAGTCGCAAAAATTTTAGTTAACGAAACTTATGTTGACGATATACTATCCGGCGGACACGATCTGAACTCAACAAAAACATCAGTATCTCAAACAATCGAAGTGCTCAAATCCGCCGGATTCCCGCTCAGAAAAATCACAGCAAATAACAGATCACTGTTGAACGAAATACCCGAAACCCATCTCCTAGACTCAGAATTTCTGCAATTTCATGATACGAGCACTACAAAAACTCTCGGAATTAGGTGGAATGCATTGACAGACACATTCTCATATTCCATTGACCCCCTTCCTGACGCAAACGCTGCCACAAAAAGGCAAATATTGTCAGCAGTCGCGAAGCTTTTTGACCCGGCAGGATGGCTATCGCCTATAATGATAACTGCCAAAACCCTACTTCAACAGCTCTGGATGGAAGGAACAGACTGGGACGAAACAGTCAAGCCACTCTCGCTTCTCAAATGGAACACGTTTCGGAATAATCTCATGGCTATCACCGAAATAAGGATTCCACGTTGGGTAGAATTCTACCCGGAAGGCGTTATCCAAATACACGGATTTTCTGACGCCTCCGAAAAGGCGTACTGCGCGTGCGTGTATCTACGCACTCAGCACAACGGATCGACGACGTCCCACTTACTCGCTGCTAAAAGCAAAGTTGCCCCCCTTAAAACGGTTTCACTGCCGAGACTGGAACTCTGTGGGGCAGTACTTCTCACAAAGTTAGTAAAGCAGATACAAACTCAACTCGATCTGCCACCTCACGAGCTAACTTTATGGAGTGATTCCTCCATCGTACTAGCTTGGTTGGAAAAACCTCCATGGACATGGAAAACATATGTGTCCAATAGAATCTCTGAGATTTTACAAAACGTGAATAACACTATTTGGCGACACGTCCCCACCTCTCACAATCCAGCTGATTTAGGTACGCGCGGTATCAAACCTCAGGAGCTTGTCAACTCCCCTCTATGGTGGTCCGGTCCAGAATGGTTAACCAAACCATCAGAATTCTGGCCGAAAGCTGCCACCTCGTACTCCTCTCCACCAGAACAGCGACAAGCAGATGCACATCACGCAGCCGAAAACGTCGATCTTTTGGAACGCTTCTCATCCTATCCAAGGGCACTCAGAGTAGTAGGTTACATGCTGAGATTCGTAAACAAGGCAAAAGGGTTGCTAGCCCCTTCCTAACGCTGCATTACCCAAGATGAAATGAACCAAGCAAAAACGATACTCATTCGGAACGCTCAGCATCAACACTACGGTAATACGATCTCCACTCTCTCAGCATCCAAGCCAATCCATAAGAAGGACCCTCTCTTAACGCTCAACCCGTTCTTAGACAAAGCAGGGGTGTTACGCGTGAATGGACGTCTCCGTTACGCTGCCCTTAGCTATAATGATCGCCATCCGATCATCGTCCCGAGCGACTCAAGACTCTATACTCTCATTCTCGCCTTCCTACACTCGACGTTACTTCATGCCGAAAAGCAATTAATGATTCGTATGATCCAACAAGAATACTATATCCCCCGTCTGAAGCAGAAAATAAAAACTTGCATTTTTCATTGTAAACCTTGCACCCTATATAAACAAAACACGAGGTCACAAATGATGGCAGCACTACCCCCCGAGCGAACAACCTACTCACTACCATTTCAAACTACAGGAGTTGACTTCGCTGGACCCTTTCTGGTAAAAACGTCAACTCTCCGAACAGCATCATACTCAAAGGCTTATGTTTGTGTTTTTGTATGTTTTGTCACAAAGGCCATACACCTTGAACTCTGTTCAGATTTAAGTACTGAATCGTTCAAAGCCGCATTTGCTCGTTTCGTCGGCAGACGCGGTATACCATGCAAAATGATGTCAGACAATGGACAAACATTTATTGGAGCAGAGCGTAGCCTCAATAAGGATCTCATCGCATTTCTCGGAGAGATATCTGAAGACATCAGCAGGAAATATACCGTCCATGNTTATCCACTGGAATACGTACCTTAATTTCCAATTCCTGTAAAGCAAAGAAAATTGAAGGAAAACCGAAAAACGAAATTTCCCCTCCTTTCCCGTTAATGTAAATACATATGTACATATATATATATATATATATATATCTATATATATATATATATATATACAAATGCTTACCGGTTACTGAAATGAAAAAAATAGAAAATTAAAAATACACACAAAAATTTAACCATCGGCCGCTGAAAAAATAAATATATATATAAAAAAAATTAATATTATACAATATATTAATATACCGGTCACCGAAAAAAAAGTGAAAAAAGTGTATATATAAATGTGTAAATATATAATATGAAGAACGGTAGCTGAAAAAACTGGATAAAAAAAATAAAATAAACAAAAGTGAGCAAAGTGAAAATATACTTACCGTTTGCTAATAAATATACAGATAATAAAAAAGAAAACAGTGAACATACACACAAAAATATAAAAAAAAAAGTTAATATTATATATTAATATATCGGTCACCGAAAAAAGTGAGAAAAAAGTGTATATAAATATATATAACATAAAGAACGGTGCTGAAAAAACTGAAAAAAAAAAACAAAAGTGAGCAAAGTGATAATATACTTACCGTTTGGTAATAAATATACATATAATAAAAAAGAAAAGATTGAACATACACACAAAAATCTAACCATCGGCCGCTGAAAAATAATATAAAAAAAAAATTTAATTATATATTAATATATTGGCCACCGAAAAAAGTGAAAAAAGTGTATATAAATATATAATATACAGAAAAAAAAACCGGTCGCTGGAAATAAAAAAAAAATATAAAAAAAGTGAGCAAAGTGGAAAAATACTTACCGTTTGCTAAAAAGTAAAATATACATAACTCAAAAAAAAAAAAAATACATATATTATATAATATACATATAAATGTATACAAAATCGATCGGTTAAAAAAGTGAAAAAACGGTCATTTAAAAAGTGAAAAACGGTCGAGAAAAAAAAAAAAAAGGCCGATCAACAATAAAAACCAGAAAAAGCCAGAATCCACACCGCTCACACAACAGTAATTAAGGGTTTGTACAAATACAAAGATATGCCAAAGTGAGTACTTCTTTATCCGTCTCATTTTATTAATATACCCACGTACATACATCTCATTGTACATATATGCCAACTGGTCCGAAACCCCTTTCAACAGGTCCACAACTGGACCAGTGTGTCGGCATTACCCACCCACAGTTGCTCATACCACTAATCTAATAGCGAGGTGTCCGCTACACAACAGCCGAGCAGCATATATACATACACTCAATATACATATTGCGTATCCCATTCCCCTTTTTGCATTGCGGCTAGCGGTCAGTATACATGCATTATACGGCATATATACACTAGACATATATATACATATATATACATACTGTACTCAAGCGCTGAGACAGTGCAGTCCCACATTATTATTACGCCACCCAAACTAAAGTACGCTCCACATAAATTGGGACAAAGCAAATACTAAAAAAAAAAAATAATAATAATAATAATTAAATAATTTTAAATTTAATAATATTAAAATAAAATAATATTAGAAATAAAATAACATTAAAAATTAAACAATATTATAAATAAAATTATATTATAAAAAAAAAAGTTTTGTGGTTTTTAACACATTTCCGGGTTTCACGACTCCAACTTAAAAGAAGATGCCAGATGATAAGCCCCTAACAGGACCACGCACCCAGTCGAAATCTCAGGCAGAGGAGGAAATCTCGCAATTACACAGAAGATTCATTCATGATCTCTCAACAATGGAGAAATTCTGCGAGAAGTGGTGGAGCGACTGCAGTACTCTTCAAACGGCGGTAGCAGTCAGACATTACAAGGATCATCTGGATAAGCTAACAGATAAGGTGGACACAACTCACAACATCATGCAGCTTAGTGATTCAGTGGATGAGAAAACTCGGATTATGTGCGCAGAAGAGTACGAGACTTTATTCAGAAACGCATTGCTGACGAAAATTCGGATAAGTAAGGCACTTGAAGGATTTAATAAACCGGAAACCCCCACATTAACAAGCCAAGCGCAGCCCACAGCGCAATCTCAACCCCATCCCAATGCACAACACTACCTTAAAGTACCTGCATGTGACACAAGTCCATTTTATGGAGGTTATGAAGAATGGCCCGCCTTCCGAGACCTTTTCACAGCAGTATATATAGAATATCCCATGCTATCGAATGCGCAAAAGTTATTTTACCTGAAGACGAAGACACGGGGAGAAGCAGCACGGGTAATTCAACAGTATTCGGTAAGCGACTTGAATTTCGAGCTTGCGTGGCAAGCACTCTCATCCCGATATGAAAACCTCCGGTTACTAGTAGATAACCAAATAGATACCCTATTAGATCTCAAAAAAATCGCAGTGGAGAGCGCGGAGCAAATTCAAAAGCTCCATCTTGCGATAACAAATAGTCTCTCCATCCTCAAATCTCACCAAGTTTCCACACTCGACTGGAGCCCACTCTTGGTGCGCGTATATGCACTTCTCGATTACCTCGAGAATTCCTGTCTCTATGGGAACAGCAAGTTTGCAACAGAAGAGACCTACCCCTCTGGTCTGAAATGAGCAACTTCTTGACAACTCGTTTTAAAGT